GTATATCTCATGTACTTACAATTTATTCATATCGGGCACTGCATATTATAAAATGTTTGAATATCTTTTGTGGTAAATATTCCCATGATTACTTCGAAAGGTAGATGATCATTTACAAATCGTTATAGTTGGTCAGAGGAAATGGTGCAACAAGGACAAATATTATGGATGTTAGTGTTGCTCTGTGGTTTTTGTTAGCTGTTTTAGCCCCTCTCCCCTGGGAGAAAGAAAAGAAAAGAAAAGCATCTGATGAATCAAAAAGAAAATTGAGTTACAGTTTTTTCGGGTAAGGATATCAGAATTTCCATGGAAAGTTGAATGTGCATACACAATAGAAAATAAGTACTGGGCATCACAAGGAAAGAACAAAGTCTTTTAGGGTTTGTTTTTCACGTGAACTAGGAGGGCTTCGGCTTTCACTCAATTTGGGTATTAAAATCTCATCAATACTTTTTGTTCACATTTTTCTTTATGGCTTTTCTTTTTTCTTGACCTCTGTGTGTGTGTTTTTATGTGTGCCTAATATGATTATTCTTCTCATAAGATTGTTTAATATGTGGATATTGGTTAAAAGGCAAGAGCATTCCAGTGAATTTTTGTTGAGTGAAGTCTTAACCTCCTAAATAAAGACGGAGACTTTGGTCTTTTAGATTGGTTGGTTATGTTATCCTTTTACCACTGGTTGGTTTGTTATCCTTTACTACTGGTTGGTTTGTTATCCTTTTCTTTCTTCTGGTTGGATGGCATGGTAAGATAGTAAGCTAAATAAACTACTTAGTTCTCTGGTGGATGTCTATGGTGATATATAAAATTTAGGATACATGCAAATACTACTCATCTAGAAAAGATTTTGAGGTAAATACTTATTTATTTTGTTATTGAACTTGAGGTCATTTTATCCACTTGATTATAAGTTATTTATGTCTCGATATTGCAGGTTGGTCCAATCACGTTCCAGACGAAGTTTCAGCCACATCTTCTTTGGACACTTGAGCAGGTGCCTTGGTCTTAGTTCAGAAAATTTTTTTAGTGATAAAGTTGCTTGAATGCATATGTTATTTGGAAATCCTTGAACTATGGTGGTCCTCAGTGATGAGGATTTCAAAGAGCATCGGGTCTTTTGTTTTGCTTTTATTTCTTTTACTTCTTTTGGGGGGATGTCTCATCCTCTTTTGTTGTATTTTATTCTCATGATCTCGATATTTTGTTTTCTTCTATTAAAAAAGAAAAAAAGAAAAAAAATGATTTCAAAGAGCACACGATATCATAAGCTGAAATTTTACTCCAGAATTCTATGGGGGTCTATGGTGCTTCCAAGGGAATCTATCCAGAATTTGGTCCTGGGACAAACTCTTGTGATATAAGGATTTATGGCTAAAAAACATCTTTAATCAGCGTTTTTCTCTTTTCAGTTTGCTTCTCTTTTACCAACATGAAGCAGAACTTGCACATTTAGGAAGTAGATAGTGCATGGAATTTCATTTGTTAAGGATACTATATAACCTTTGTTCTTAAGCTAGGGGGATGTAGGGTATGAGTTATGCTGAAGTTAATTGTATACCTCAGTAGGTTGTCAATTATGAGCTGTTATTATGAAGAGTGAATTTGGATGGATGGCCTAGCTTCTACTTCACGTATATTTGATATTTGTGCCATGAACAGTGAACTTGGTAAAAAATTTCCTTAAAGAATAATATAAAGATTTCCCTGCATTGGATAAGCGAAATATTTGTGTGTCAACTTGGTAATTTATTACAAGTATTAGCCTTTTTGGTAATTGAATGTAAAGAAACTGCCTACATGACATGGTTATTATTTGAACAGAACTCCATGTATTTAGTTTATGTTTCTTTGTTATAATTTTTTCCAGGTCAGAAAAAACATTGAGGAGAAGAGTCATCAACATATAGATGCACGTTCAAAGGCTAGGTAACTTCTTTTTTCTTTTTCTTTTTTTGCATGTCATTGGTGTTAGAAAGTATATTTGTATAGTGAGTACTTATCATTGGTGTTAGAAAGTATATTTGTATAGTGAGTAGGGTAAAAGGAGTATATTAGTAATATACCCACCTCATGTAATTAATGGTGTTTCCTTTTGTTGTTGATAAAAAGCTGTATATATAGGGTCTTATTATTCAATGAAATTCATATTTCATTCTCCACATGGTATTAGAGCGATATGTTAAAAAAAATCCTATACTCTTTTCCAAACTCTATTCGACCTTCGTTGCTGAAATAAGAAAACCCTAGGAGGGCAACTGTCATTGCCGCATCCTCTTCCCCCTACCAAACTAGCCAACCACCTAGCCCAGCCGTTGACTGCAACAGCTGCTGGTCGTCAGCAATCAAGCCAGCCTTCATTGTCGGTAGCAACTAGAGAGAACAGAGTCGCAAGCACGGCTCCTTCTGCAACCAGGTGGGGCCTCCTCTGCCATCAGCAGTACAACCTGTCTCAGCCAGTTGAAAATGGCCGCGTGCGTAGCCTCCAGCCGGCCAAACCACATGCTCCACCTATATTCGTGCAGAATCGCTACATCTGCTCCTTGCCGCGGATCTGCCTCCTGCTGGTTCAGGTTCACACAGCCACCACTCAGCCACGCCACAGTTGCAAACCGATGATTTCTATTTTTTTTAATTTTTAAGTAGTCTTATTTCCCCCAATGTTTTTGCAAGATGTCTGATGTTATGTTTTAATCCATTGGCACAAGCTTCTCTATGGGGAATTCAACAGAAAACAGTGGTGAATTTTTGTTAATCCAGACTGCGTACTGTTCTAATAATAAAGATTATTTTGAGTTGGTCACTACTAATTTGGACCACCCTCAAGGGCAAAGGAAAGCTAGGTCATCTCCTTGTCACTGGACCAAAGATAGGAGATCCTAATTTTGATGTTTGGGATGAAGGCGATGGTTATGACATGTCTAGAACTCTATGATACCGAAGATCAGTAAACCAGTTATGTGTTTATCTACAGCAACTGACATTTGAGATTCAACCAGAGAAACATCTTCCCGGGAAAAGATGCAGCTCGGATGTATGACCTGATCGTGAAGCCCTGGATGACTAAACAGGACAAGAAGACGGTCACAGGATATGTGAACCTTCTGAAAGATTTGTGGTAGGAACTTGATCAATATCACAGTATCATAAGGAAAGTAGCAAAGGTGCAATAGCCTTATAAAGATTTGTTAAGAAAGATAGAGCCTACCAATTTATGGCAGGACTTGAGAAATTTTTAGGAAGTGATGCTGTCCCTGAATGGATAATATACTTGATTAGTGCAGAATAGAATAGAAGAGGAGTTACGCTTGAATCCACATAATTGATAACTTTGAAATGGTACTAAGGGTTCCAAACCACATCAACTGGGGAAGGAATCATATCATAGTGAGACCTTAGTTACTAGCGGAGAGAATAGAGAAAATCTCGTGTACCTTCTGAAAAATACGAAGGACTGCCAACCACTTCTAGCCAGGATTGAGGATACAAGAAAAATCAGGGATAGACATATGTAGCTTAGGAGAAGAAGAATGCTGAGACCTTTGTTTTCAAAGTAGAGATTGAGCGATTACAGACCTAACTTGAGCAACTTGAAAAATCTAAAAGTGCAAGTCTCAATAGCACATTCAAGTATGTTCTATTTTCCATAGTTTAAATGTTTCAAGTAAATCTTTTGTTTTTTTTTTCATGGATTATAGTTTCAGGAGCGAATGAACATGACAGATTCATCTAAATTGTTTAATACTTATGCTCCATGTCCCAGTAATAGAAAAATTACACCACTGATGGTTTGCTAATCTCAGTAGCAAGATTTGGAACCATAAATTTTAATTCTCATCTCACTCTTCAGGATGTTCTCTATGTACCTAAATTGTATAAAAATCTTATATTAGTAACCAAATTGTTTCATGACCTTAATTGTAAACCGACTTCTTCTTCTTCCCTTTGTAAAATTTCAAGACTAGAATTTAGAGAGGACGATTGGACGGGGTAAGGCTTGAGATGGATTATATTTCCTTGACACACTCGACATACCCAATATCGCTCTCTCTACTAGCATATTAGATAAATTATGGTTCTATCACAAGAGAATAGGACACTTTTTCTTTCTTTATTCTTAAGGATTTCCCTCTTTATTTTCTAATTGCAACTATAAAAGTTTACATTGGAATATATATGAACTGGTAAAATATCGTTTGCTTATATTAATAAAAGAAGTGATTTTCCTTTTCAATTGATTCATATTGATATTTGAGGTCTCTATAATATTTCTAACATATTTGGAGCATGATGATTTATTTATTTTTATTGATGACTGTACTTAGGTTACTTGGCTTTTCCTATTGAGATCTAAAATAGAAATTACTTGTATTTTTCCCAATTCTGTTCCATGATTAAAACATATTTTGTGGTCACAATTAAATGTTTTAAAACTAATAATGCTTAAGACTACCTTAATCAAACATTAACCTTCTT